CTGTCTCTCATCCCCATGGCATAGTAAATGGAATCCCATATACAGGGTGAGGCAGCATAACTTCCTTTTAAAAATGCACGCCATTCAGTCGGTTTAAGACGTAGCGGAGCGCTAGTGGTCTCGTTCGAGAGGCAGGAGTATAAAGTTTTGTCCTGACATAGTATGTATAAAATGGCAAACAGCAGTTTGCTTTTAGGGGAATTTTTTTCTGAATATTTTCGAGTCATAGTTGATTGTATACATTGTACAAAACCCACAGATACAGAGGACTAACTATATATACACAGGAAAATTGAAGTTCCTGCCTTGAAAGTTAGCTTTCATTGGGTTTTAGTTATCCAACTGTAAACAAATGTGCAAACATTGTTGAAATGGAATTGGATTGAAGGACTTTCAGGTCGCCTGGCTTACAGGAAAATCAGGTATTTTTGCTATAGTTGGCTAATGTGTCCTAATCAGAGGAAAGACTGCAAATCAATCAAATATAAAACAGTTCCATCAGGAAACAAACTTATTATAGGACAAAGGTTGCTAATTTCAATTGCTTTGATCCCCAGTTAAGGGTTCAGGACAGAGAAAGTGCAAAGAGCAAGAGGAAAACTGGGTCCCTTTCAGATTGAAATAGTTAATTGTGACTGGGCATTGGCTTTAGCATATACATTCGTAATTACTTGGAGAAAACCCAAATGAAATTTTCCTCTCTTTTAGGTTGCAAACATAGGTTTTCTTTGTATCTCTTTAGTGAGAGACTGTGTAAGCAAGATGTTTTGTTTCAAGTAAAATGTATATATATTCAGAGCTGTCCTCACAATATAATAATAATAATAATAATAATAATAATAATAATAATAATAATAACAACAACAACAACAACACTTTATTTGTATCCTGCTACCATCTCCCCAAGGGACTCGGTGCAGCTTACATGAGGCTGAGCCCAAATACAACAGTACAAGCAATAATAACAACAATACAAGCAATTAAAATAAAAAACATAGACAATAAAATATGCAACAATTAACAATAAGACAACACACAATTAAAAACAGTGGGAAGGCCAAATGTAAAGTTAAAATTGGAAATGATGTTTTCTTTTTGTAATGGGCGTCATATAATTAAAAGTATTTATTTATTTATTTATTTACCCCATTTGTATACCGCCTTTCTCAGCCAGAGGCGATTCTTCTTTGTGGAATGCTTTTGTCATATTAATGTGAGTACTGTATTTCTGATATATTAAATACTTCAACATTTCCATGTAGGAATCTAGGTTAATGTGCTGTAAAGGTTTTGTTTTGTTTTGGAATGCCGCCCTTCTTTTTGTGTGTAGCTTTTCAGTTTTATCAATAGGAGAAAAATTGCAGAAGGAATTAATTATGTGGCTTTTAAAAACAAATTGAGAACCGGCCAGTGCTTTATTTCTTAAACGAGAAAGAGATGGTGGCTTAAATGATTTGAAAACTTGGATGAGTTATGGACTGCAGAAGTTTCAGTTGCAGCAGGAGGAAAAAAGCAGGAATGGCATTTTGTATTTCAGCTTGACAGTTGTTTATTTTCAAAGGCCGTTGAAGATGGAGTAGGGTTAGGGGCTAAAATAATACGAAAATGGATCTTTCTAATCTATCAGTTTTGTCCCCCCTTTCCACCCAAGTGTCGATTGATTGGAATCAATGAGATCAGGAAAAGAATACCCTCAAAATCCATATCCACCTCGTGACTAGTGTGAGAGGATGAGGAAGCCCAAAATTTTGAATAGACGTTTCCATAGGGAAGTCATCAGCCCTTCCTAAGGTGATTCTTCTACACTTTCTGAAATCTGAATCCTTCTTTATGGTCTTTGTGACTCACACATATGGGTCTTGTGCCAGCATAGAATATAATCATGGAAAGAAACAAAAAGAAGGATGTACTAAAAATGGAAAGAGTGAACAATTTGGATAGCTGCCTCAGTGCTTTGTGTGTGTGTCAGAAGTGACTTGAGAAAAACTGCAAGTCACTTCTGGTGTGAGAAAATAGGCTGTCTGCAAGGATGTTGCCCACAGAACGCCCGGGTGTTTAATGTTTTACCATCCTGTGGTAGGCTTCTCTCATATTGCTGCATGGGAAGCTAAAGCTCGACAGACGGGAACTTACCCCACTTCCCTGGATTCGAACCTCCGACCTTTTGGTCAGCAGTCCTGCCGGCACAATGGTTTAAACCATTGCGCCACCAAGTGCTACCCCAATGCAACTGAGGAGACACTCAGAAATTAACATTATTCTCAAAAGTTTGTTAAAACTCCTTTCCATCTCTGCCTTATTTCATACTGCCCCATTTTAATCCATATCTAATAATTCATTGGTCACTTGCCTTTTTCCTTCGATAACCAAGATTGCCTATGGATGATTCCTGAGTAAATGGAACTGCAATCTTCTTGTAGAACTTGTTCAAAATGCTTTCAAGTTAGACAGAGTTTTCACTTCTTATTTTCCAAAGGGAAACTTGGTTTTTATTTACTTCTTTCGACAAATCTTGGGATTATTCTTGGTAAAATCAAACATCACCCCTTTCCCTAATCAGCCCCAACTGAAAGTAAAGGCCTTTTAACTCCTCTCCTCCTTTGGGTTGCAGATCTGGACCTTGTAGAATATGCCCAAGCTTCTACCTGTTTTACTGACAAGGGCTATTCTTTATGTCATATAGGATAGAATCATAGAATCATAAAGTTGGAAAAGACCTCATGAGCTATCTAGTCCAATCCCCTGCCAAAAAGCAGGAAAATTGCATTCAAAGCACTCCCAACAGATGGCCACCCAGCCTCTGTTTAAAAGCCTCCAAAGAAGGAGCCTCCACCACACTCCCGAGCAGAGAGTTCCACTGCTGAACGGCTCTATGGCTCTCACAGTCAGGAAGTTCTTCCTAATATTAAAATTGAATCTCCTTTCCTGTAGTTTGAAGCTATTGCTCCATTGCGTCCTAGTCTCCAGGGCAGCAGAAAACAAGCTTGCTCCCTCATCCCTATGACTTCCTCTTATGTATTTATACATGGCTATCATGCCTTCTCTTCTTCCGGCTAAACATGTCCAGCTCTTTAAACATCCTCTTTAAGGATGTTTATTTTATGTGATTGGTTTAATACTGTTTAATGTTTTTTCAGAGGGTCAATTTTGATGTGTTATGCTGTTTTTAATCGATGGCATAAAATTCTTGACAACACTGTGAACCACCCTGAGTCCCCTTCGGGGTTGAGAAGGATGGTATACAAATACCGCAAATAAACAAATAATAAATAAAGATCAGCTTAATGATTGAAACAGATATTTGTGTGTGTGTATGGGGCAGCGGGAACACAACGGCACATGTACTCTTTTAGGTTTGGCAGACGTGTTGGGAGGTCTTGGTATCTCTTGTATTTCTTAGTGTTTTTAAAATATCACCAAACATTTTTGTTTTTTGTCCTTCTCAGCATCAGCTGCAGCACGCTATTTGCACTCTCAAGTGGGCTTTCATTTTGTAATTCTGAGCAAGTGAAAGCTAAAGAGTCACAACCTTGAATACCTGTTTGGACCCATCTGGAAATCCAGTGGCTAGTAGCAGATGCAAACTTAAATACAGTCATGGCATCCTGCCTTAATTTCATCTTTAGTCAGGCATTCAGAAATGTAGGACTAACACTGACATTTCAGGGAGCCTTGATTTCTTAAGGGCAGTTAGTTTGCAGAATGTGTGTACAAATGCATCTTCAAGTTGCGTTTTGACCTATAGTCACCCCATGACATTTCATGGGGTTTTCTTAGGCCCCTTCTACACTGCCATAAAATCCAGATTATCAAATCAGATAATCCAGATTGTCTGCTTTGGATTATATGAGTCTACACTGTCATATAATTCAGTTCAAAGCAGATAATCTGGATTGTATATGGCAGAGTAGAAGGGGCCATAAGGAAGGAATACTCAGAGGTTGTTTAGCCAGTTCCTTCCTCTGAAATAGAACCCATAACACCTCGTATTCAATGTTGGTTTCCCATCCTGGTACTAACCAAGGCAGATCCTTCTTAGCTTCCATGATCAGTCAGAATCTGGAGCCTTTAGTGCAGTGGTTCCCAACCTTTCTTTGATCAGGAATCACTTTGGCCAGGAACCACTTGCCAACATTAGTACCAAAAGGGTTATGAATCAGTTTTTGGTCAATTTTAGGTTCGGTTTGGTTATTTGGGGTGCTGATTCAGAAAATTGCAATGGATAGACCATATCAGCTCTAGTTTCTGATAAAGAACACATGCCAACCAGTAGTCGCCTTCTGCTTGTCCACAGAAAACTATATTTAATAAGCCTCTGCACTATAAGAGGGTTTTGCGAGACCAGTCGCTCTAATTGCAACGATGTAGTAATGGTGAGGCCACGGAACATATTTTAGGTCTTTCGGACTACAGGCTGGGAACCACTGCTTTAGGGTGTTTACATTTTTACATTTTATATCTATGGTGTCCTTCTCTCCATTTATGAAACAAATGGGGATTTAATTAAGAAAATGAATTTTGATTCCGTTTAAAAGGCCATTCTGAGAATGTAAGTGGAAGCTTAGAGAGCCCTGCAGAGAGAGATTAAAAGTAGTTTCCCCTTTCTAATTAGGCCTTTCAGGAAACAATTGATTATAAATGGCACTCGGCTTGCTGTGTGATATTTGTTTGATATGACTTATGACAAATGATAGGTTTTACCTAATAAGTTCACCAGTGACACAGGAAAGCAGCTGCATTCAGTTACAGTAAGCCTGATGTCAGTAAATCTTATTTTCCACCCCTCCCACTCCAAAGAATTATAGCTAACAAACCATTTTCACCATACTGTTAAGGTCTAGGAAAGAATTTCAAGCAGGAAATGGATCGTATAATGGCCAGTAGAGTGCTTTGATGAGATGTTTTAAATCCAACTTTATAAGGGTGAACATTACCTTCCTAGTACAAATCTCCTAAAATATACCACAGTCCTAAAACATCCCCTTATATCTTTCCAACAGGGTCAGCATATTTCATTAGCTCCTGCTCCGAAGATGGAGGAAGTGCTCTATGAATATATGCCGCTGCATATAGAGACCTATGGGCCACAGGTTCCAGAGCTTGAATTACTTGGGAAATTAGGGTAAGTATCCTGCACCTCCAACTGTGACTGTCACTGAGATGTGGTTCCATTTGGGAACTTTTTCCCCCCTCCACCAAAGCGGAATTTTTGAAAAAGAAGAAGCAAACAGAAAAGCCTTAATGAAATAGTCGACATCCTGCCCAAACCAATGTTTTGTTTGGGTGGCTAAATGTGATTTTTTGTTACTCCCTCCCCCTTTCTTTCCTTGTCTGGTCTTTTATAGATCAGTTGAGAATTTGGCTGGATTGCATTAGTGTTTGCAAGGTTACCGTTGGCAGTCAAGACGAAATAGCTGTTCATTTTCAGTTGCACAGTATCAACATGTAGAAAAAACAACAACGTAAGGGGCTGGGTAGCCCAGCAGCTGCTCTAAGCCAATAAAAATATCAAAACTGGTGTTTAGTTATGGGAGGTGTTAGATTTTACTCTGTCTTAGCACGCAGTAATATGTTCTGTTCACAGACTCTTCCAGATGGGTATATATGTCAGGAGTTGGCAATATTTGGTCCTTATTTCTCATGGTTTTTAAAAAAGGTTCAACTAACACTTTCCAGAAAGTTGGGGAGGCAAAATGGAGAACAATTATTTTGGATTTGTTTCTAACAAACAGAAGAATACTGGTTAATTGGGTAGAGATCATGGCATCCTTGGTGGGAGTGATCATGAGTAATCACGGAGGTTAAGATCTTCTGGGGAAGCCCTGCTCTCGGTCCAGCCGTGACTGGTGGGGACAAGAGACAGGGCTTTCTCAGTGGTGGCCCCTCGACTGTGAAACTCTTTCCCTAGTGGGATTAGCTTGGCCCCTTCCCTCCTGTTATTTCACCAACAATGAAAAGCATTTGGCAAAGCATAATTATCTCTGCAATACAGTTGGAATTGGCTTTGGATTGATGAATATGATTATCTGATTATCTGGCTTTGGAAATATGTACAACAGCTGTCTAATGTTTACATATGTATTTTAATGTTGTTGTAAGTTGCTGTTTAATTGCTTTTAATGGATGTTGTTTGGGCATGGAATAATGCCACTCATGTAAGCTGTCCAGAGTCCCCTTCAGGAGGGGAAGGGTGGGATATAAATGTCGTAAATAAACAATAAGTGTCCCTTTGGAATGTGTGTTATACAGATGAAAAAGGATATCAGACACACACTCTCGATTTCAAAAAAGCTGATTTTAATTATCTCAGTGAAATACTGGGTGAAATCCCATGGGCAAAAATGCTGAAAAGGAAGTGAGAACATGATGCATGAGAGCATCTTAAAATTATGATGTTAAAGGCACAGTTGCAAACAGTTCCAATAAGGAAATAAAATGGGAGATGTCTAAAGAAACCAGGGTAGATGTTTCAAGAGCTTTCAAATGAGCTGAGATTTAAAGGAGACATGTATAAGAAATCGAAGAAAGGGGAAACCACCAAAGAAGATTACAAATGGATAAACTTACTTGCAAGGGAAAATCAGAACTCAGCCAGTGTTTGGGTTTTATGACTATTTTCAGATCAAGAGGAACAGCAAGGAAATAGAACGGCTATATAGAGAAGAAGGTAACAGAGTAGAGAGAAGGCTGACTAGTTCAATATCTTCTTTCCTGAGTCTTCTCTTGAAGTGGGTTAAACTGCTGAATTGCTGAACTTGCTGACCGAAAGGTTGGCGGTTCAGATCTGGGGAGTGGAGTGAGCTCCTGCTGTTAGCCCCAGCTTCTGCCAATCCAGCAGTTCGAAAACATTCAAATGTGAGTAGATCAATAGGTACCGCTTCTGCGGGAAGGTAACAGTGTTTCATGCAGTCATGCTGGCCACATGACCTTGGAGGCGTCTACAGACAATGCTGACTCTTCAGCTCAGAAATGGAGATGAGCACCACCCCCCAGTCGGACATGACTAGACTTAATGTCAAGGGGAAACCCTTGAATCCATTGCTTCGTGTCTTAGTCTTTGGAGCAGCGGAAAACGATATGACATTCTTTCAAATATTTAAGTATGGTTATCATATCCCTATTATTGTCTCCCTCAGTCTACACCAGGCATGGGCAAACTTTGGCCCTCCAGGTGTTTTGGACTTGAACTCCCACAATTCCTAACAGTCTACCAGTTGTTAGGAATTATGGGAGTTGAAGTCCAAAACACCTGGAGGGCCGAAGTTTGCCCATGCCTGATCTACACACTATGCACCTATTTTTCCATATTATTTTTATTGCAAAATATATGAGGAATGGGGAACGGTAAAAGAGTGAATATAGAAGAGGGGCATTTTTAATGTCTTGCATCTCTGTCTTCTTCCATTATTATCTAATACAAAAAAATGGTTTCTATGATGTTGAAAAGGGGAAAAAAGACAGAAGAAAAAAGAAAACATTTCTTTTCTGATCTAAAACAGAACTAATCTTATCTCTTTTTTGAAGTTACAATCTTGATAAGACAATGTGTTGTGGATTTAATATGCAGGCAGTCCCCAAGTTACAAATATCTGACTTACAAATGACTCTCTTCTTGGTGTGCGACAGCAAGAAGTGAGAGGAAATTACCCCTTGGAAGGGAAATTCACTCGTGGAAGAGTTATCACAGGAAAAAGGTATCTCAGCTGAAACATTTATCACCAATCATTGTTTCCACAACAAGCCAAAGTTTTCAAAATCCAGTTATCACAGGGACAGAAAAAGAGGTGAAATCTTCTGAACAGGGGCACAGACAGCAAAACAAAGAACACAGGGGTGCTCCCCCTTCCCTATGCTATCCAAAGTTGTTGCTGTTTATTCATTCATTTGCTTCTGAGTCTTCGTGACCTCATCGACCAGCTCACGCCAGAGCTCCTTGTCAGCCCTGGCCACCCCCAGCTCCTTCAAGGACAAGCCAGTCACTTCAAAGATACCATCCATCCATCTTGCCCTTGGTCGCCCCTGCTTCCTTTTTCTTTCCATTTTTCCCAGCATCATTGTCTTCTCTAAGCTTTCCTGTCTTTTCATGATGTGGCCAAAGTACTTCATCTTGGCCTCTAATATCCTTCCCTCCAGTGAGCAGTCGGGTTTTATTTCCTGAAGTATGAACTGGTTGGATCTTCTCGTGGTCCAAGGCACTGTCAGAACTTTCCTCCAACACCACAGTTCAAAAGCGTCTATCGCTCAGCCTTCCTTATGATCCAGTTCTCACATCCATAGGTTACTATGGGAAATACCATTGCTTTAAACTATGCAGATCTTTGTTGCCAGTGTGATGTCTCTATTCTCAACTATTTTATCGAGATTGGTCATTGCTCTCCTCCCAAGGAGTAAATGTCTTCTGATTTCCTGGCTGGAGTCTGCGTCTGCAGTAATCTTTGCACCTAGAAGTACAAACCCTGTCACTGCCTCCATGTTTTCTCCCTCTATTTGCCAGTTATCAGTCGTTCTGATTGCCATAATCTTGGTTTTTTAATGTTTAACTGCAGCCCAGCTTTTGCACTTTCTCCTTTCACCTTGGTTAGAAGACTCCTCAGCTCCTCCTCGCTTTCAACCATCAAAGTGGTTTCATCTGCATATCCAAGGTTGCATATCCAATGTTTCTTCCAGCAATTTTAACTCCAGCCTTGGATTCATCAAGCCCCACACATTGCATGATGTGTTCTGCATACAAGTTGAATAGGTTGGGTGAGAGTAGACAGCCCTGCTGTACTCCTTTCCCAATCTTGAACCAGTCGGATGTTCCATGGTGTGTTCTTACTGTTGCTACTTGGTCGTTATACAGATTCCTCAGGAGAGAGACAAGGTGACTTGAGACCCCCATACCACCAAGAACTTGCCACAGTTTAATGATCCAGACAGTCAATGGCTTTAGAATAGTCAATAAAACAGAAATAGATGTTTTTCTGAAACTCCCTTCCTTTTTCCATTATCGAGCGAATATTGGCAAGTTGGTCTCTCATCCCTCTGCCTTTTCTAAACTCAGCTTGTACATCTGGCAACTCTTGCTCCATGTCTTGCTGGAGTCTACCTTGCAGGATCTTGATCCAAATCTAAGAAATAAATATTTTTGGATGGAGTGACACTTCAAAAATGTCCCTGTTTTGACTTACAAATTCAGGTTAAGAACTAAGCTACAGGACCAATCTTGTTCGTAACTTGGGGACTTCCTGTACTTTGATTTCAGTAAGGTTTTTGACTTGGTCCCAAGAGTTGTATTTGATCTGCAGGTCCTACATTGCTCAACCTTGTTGTTGGGAGGGAAAAGCTTTGTGAAGAGGCCAGACCAAAAGGGAAGATATAAATTGACTAAATAAATAAAATCCCACATTGGTTAAACCAAACAGTTAGCAGAAATGCATCAATCATGTGAATAAGATTGTGCAGTTGGTTACAATATGACCTCACTGTGTGGGGTTGGACTCCGTTTCTTGAGGGTCCATTCCAGCTGCTTTACTGATGAGCCCTTTAAATGTTGAGTTTCGTCTCCAGTTTATTGTTCTGTGCTTTTTTCTCTCCATTTGCTGGTGTATCAAGTTATCAGAGGCCAATATTAATTAGCTTTCCCAACCCTAACATGGGCTGATCTAGCACACACCACCTGTTCCTGGAACAGCTGCTTGGGCCGCCAAAGCCCTGGGATTTCTGATGACAAATGAAAATGTGCGTCAGGAAGCAGGCCTCTCATTCCATACCAAGGACCTCTTGGTTCTTGACATTTCATGTTTTCCTTGTGAGTTTGAGAGCAGCCTTGCAGCAATAGACGTGGAACAGAACTCATATCTAATGCTTGTCAGCACCAGGCCAAATTTCGTCAGGTGGTGCTTGTAAAATTTTATTGCTCTTTTAGAAAAAGTATACACATCAGATGACTAATAAAATGGATCATTCTTAACACAGGATCAAAAATTGTTATTGTGATTAACATTAACTATAGCGTTGAATTGATTGCTTACATATAAGTTGACCTCATGTAAAAATCAAGGGCAGTTTTTGGGGCCAAAATGATGGAATTTGATTTGACCCGTTGATCAGTCAAGGATTATTCTGTAGAGAAAGGAAAGC